GGTCGTCGAGAGGGGGCGGGGCGGGCCCGCGGGCGGGGCGGGGCAAGCGCGACGCGAGGGCGGGGGTCCTCAACAGCCCCTGGCTGCAGTCCTGAAGTCTGTGGGCGTTAGGACCGCAGTGCTTCTCCCGCCGCAAATTTGGGCCCCTGAGTTAGGGTGTGCGAAGCCAGGCGCGAGCCCAAGTGAGGTGTCTGGGGGTCTCCAGTTCGGGGAGGTTGGAAAGAAGATAGAGAAAAGTGGGGAGGGGAGGTAGGAGTCATGAAGGGCAAATCCGGAAGCCCGAGGTCACTCCTGGTCTGTGCGGAGGGAGTGTGCGCCCCTGCAGAAGACCAGAAAAACCCGGGTGACCTTATCTAGGTGAGGATCGCGGAAACCTTAACGGAAAACCTGCAGGCAGACTGAAGCGGTAACTCACGTTCCCATTCTCATCGGTGGGAGTTAGATCGGGGACTTGCCCGCCCCCACTCCTCCTCTTCACCTAAGGACACGATCTAGACTCCAGAGAGAACATAGCTACTTAAGGTGCCGAAAGCATCTGGGAATATGAAAGTCAATAGGCTAAATGCTCACAGGGAGCTTCCTAAACTAGACCAGAGCTTCAGAGGTAGAGCTGAAAGACAGAAAAAATGAAGAGCTCTCTGAGCCTGGGGAGTCTGTACTTGCTTATACAGACACCCAGACCGACTGTGCTGCTCCCATGCGTTCACAAAGGTATGAATATACAGCCAATCTCTTTTTTGCTTTAGTCTGTTAATGGCTTTGAGATCTTCCATTGAGAAGTGGAACGCAGTGTTTTGCCTTTAGACTCCTTGATGGCGGGTAGGTAGATCCACATCTGCACAAAGAACCCTGGCTGTCTGTAAAAATATAAACTGCCACAGTTCGGTTGTCCCCTACTCGCCTGAGCTGGAAGTCAGAAATCCGGAAAATGTAAAACAAGAACCTGCCTAGAATTTGGGACAAGCTTTACAAAAAAAAGTCTCCCTATGAGATGATCTGTAAATGTGTTACAGAGGCCAGGGTGGCTCCCAAATTTCATTAGAGAGAGTAAAATAAATCATCTGTAACCTAAGTGTCACATGCCTAGTTGATGCTGTCATAAGAGAGGGGTGGGGTCCATAAAGAGTCTAGAACCAGCACCATCTGAATAAGAATGTATTGTAGGCACCCACTCTGTCTAGAATAGAAGCTATTGATTTTAATGACCAGGACCAATATCCACACATTATCCAAGAAACTTAGCTCAGATTCAATTTCTCACTCAACAAATACTTATTAAATGCTTACTGTGTTCTAGTCTTTTGGGATACTTCAACAAATAAGATCCTTGCCATTACTGAGTTTATACCCTAGTAAACTTAAATTCTAGATACCCTTTAGGAGCATACAAAGACCCACGCTCTGATTCCACAATCATCAGGTAGTCTTCCCATAACTCAAGCAATCTCATACCCAGTAAGAAGCAAATGTTCAAGGCACATGACTGGTACTACTTATACTAGCAATATAGCCCTCAATAAATTCACATCATGATTTATATATCAGCTTCTGTTCACTGGATTGAATTATAAAGTTGTTTTATCCAAATTAATTTCTCAGAGCCTGATTAAGCCTAAGTGAAGTGAAATACGTCTAAATCTGCCAAGCTGAAGACCAGACGGACTCTAGTTTCATAGCAGCTAAGTCAAGATGCAACCCATGCATTCAGCCTTGCATCTCTTTAAACATCTTAAATGGAAGCTTTACCTGTGATTCCACGCTTGAAGAACAGGGGCAACATGATTGCTTCTAAAGCTTAATCACGAGTGAGTAAAAATCATGAGAGGAAATTGTTAGAGGAAAAATCCTGAACCTGCCCCACCTGTACAACACAGGCTCTTGTTGACATAACTGACTGTAATAATTGCATTACTCTGAATATGAAACCCAACACTGTAAGCTCCCAGAGGACAGAGACTCTTATGCATTTATGTGCCCTACTCTCAAAGTATGGGCTTTCAACAAATGAGCTGATTTGAAGACCATTTTTCCCCTGTAAAACTCAAGAACATGTCCTGGGAAGATATCTTTTCCATATCCTACTTTATAATAATTAACCAGTATGTTCAAAATATAGGAATCAGGGGTGTAATTTTAAAAAGCAAACCAAAACAAAAAACCTTTATTTCTTACTCTCGCTATCCCTTTAAACCTGTGCAGTGGAAGGAGGTCTGTTTTATACCTAACTAGGCAGATTCCAAGAGGTTATGTGGTCCTTCTTATGAACAGAAAGTCTTATAGTCATTGAGTCACAAAGACTGAAACTTCTCCCTCTTCACCAATTTAGGATACCTGGCTCACTGCTTGCCCTGGAGAGGCATCATGCCTGGTTTTTCTTGTTCTCTCCCAGCTCTCCAAGCAGAGCCAAAAGGAGGGAAAGATAGGAAAAGAAAGGGGAGCAGGAAAGTTTGTAAATTTTACTTCCATGTGATGCTTTCACACTGTGGGCCTGCTAGATGTTTAAAGCTGCCTTTTTTTCTGATGGATGCTTTTATGGTTACTTCAGAAACCACCACTGTCCCCATTCTTTGGTGGCTTCTCACACGTGGAACCCTTGATCTGAGGAAAAGCATTCTACTCTCATAGTTCTTTACTCTTTTTCAGTCCCTAGGAATCTATCTAGTGGCCCACCTCCAACTTCTTATCTCTTGAAACCTGTTTTTCTCAGTAAGGACCCTGTCAGATAGGATCTAAGGTAGCTCTCACACTGGCCCACTTGTAAGTGGCCTGGGACCACCCCATATACTGTTGCATAAGGTTGTGTACTCCATACCCTAGGAAGTGCCATTCACATCATCCTCGTGGATTTGTATATTTATTTTAACACTTTTCCAGCAGGTGGCAGTAAAGTGTTTATAACGTATGTGTGACTATTTTCCAAAAGATGGAAGTAAAATGCCTGGATGAGGGAGATCTTTTTTTCTAATGGTGCTGTTTAGGCTAGTGGCAGCTCTGTACGGTCCACATTAAGCGCTCATGCACTTCTTGGCCAAACAAACTTGGGAATACAGGCTCCCAGTGCAACTGCAGCATTCCTCTGCTCTGCTGCCAAAACACCTGCCAGCCTATCTCTTGTCCTTTTTAGTTTTCAGGCAGGAGACAGACACAAGTCCACTGCGGCCCACTAACTGCAAGAGACACATCTCAAGTACTCTGAGTAGTTCCATTGGAGGTCCCTCTCACTCACCTTGAGATAAGAGGCAGGCAAGCTTATGTGGTAAGAATCACAGCATACCAACAACAGTCTCCAAAGAAATACCTCACTAATTCTCACTTGACCTTTTATAACTTGTTGTGAGTATATAGAGTTATCTACCTGATTTTGGCTAAACCCTCTCATTTCTAGGGAAAGTCCATTTCAGAACTCACTATGGTCAGTTTTTGTGGAAGGGGTGGAGGGAGTTGGGTTTTTTCTATAATACCTTGGTGCTTTGATTAAAACAGTAGTTCTCAGCTGGGGATAATTTTTATGGCCATGTCTGGAAACATTTTTGGTTGTCAAAACTGGGGAGGTATTACTGGCATCCAGTGAGCAGAGGTCAAAGATGCTGCTAAACATCCTGCAGTACACAGGACAGCCCTCCCCAGGACAAAGAATTATCTGGCTGATAATGTAACTTTTGATTTAACATCTTGTAACAAACAGAATTTTCTACATTTGGCAGCCACTAAGAGAATACCTTAAAATTACATGACTTTTTCTTCATTCTTTCTACAAATGCTTTACCTGTAGATGTAGACGTCACAATTTAATTGGTATATAACTAATGTCCAAAATAGCATTTCCCTTCTTCTGGAGGTGGCCTACCAGGAAAATTATTACTTGAGGTGAGATTTTTTAGTTATTTCTTTGCGAGAAGACTTTCATAGCCAAGGAAAACAAACATTTTACCCACCTCATCTGAGCAGAGACTTTATGCCTCTCAGAAGTAAAATCATAGGTCAAATCACTATAAAAGGAACATATATTTGCTACAACCCCAGACCACATCCTAGATGCTAGGGAAGGCTTCAGCATGTGGGCTTCCCCGGAGTCACCAGTGTCTATGGGATTAAACTTGACATCAAGGAATAGCTGTCTGTCTCTGTAGTCACTTTACAACTGATCTTTCTTATTCAAAGAGAATGCGAGTGGACTTCTTTCCTGCTCTCCCTGCAATCCCTACCGTAGATTAGTGTGATTGAATTCAGCTCTTTCAGATGTAGCAGGATGTTGAGCCATCAGTCTTCTGCCATCAGTATATAAATGTTCATTATTCAGGTGTTTTCCTCACCCTTACTAATCTCATCTCTGACCAAGGCTGAGTACCAGCATATAGATTAACTTTTGTTCAGTCAAGGCTACTATAATCTTTTTAAATACAATGTTCATAAGAAACGGGAGCCACAATAGCCAACAAGAGCCAAGAGCCAGTCCTATCTGATCAATCCTCAACCAACTATTTCTTAAAAAGTAAAACAGACACAACATTCAATACTTAGGAATGTTGGACTTGGAATAAGAATATTGTACTTGTAATAAGAAAACCTGCGTTTGAGTTCTAGCCCTTTCACTTACTAGCCATGTGACTCTGGTCAAGGTTCTTAACCTAAATGTACCTTAGATTCCCCAGTGGTAAAATAGGAAAAATAATACTGAAATGAATTGGTATGCATGAGAGTGTTTTATAAGCTGTATACCACAATTTTTTTTACTCCTCTCTCCTATACTGCTTTCAGAGACCTAAAGAAGTGTCTGGAAATGTTTTGCTGCCGTATGTAGGCTTTTACTGATAGGGATGAAGCCCCCGTGGAAATTTTTCTTGACAGAAGTTG